ATATTCTATCGCATATCTACAATAAAATGATATCTGTTATAAGAATTCTCCCTCGTCTATTGTAAACCCGATATAGCCATGTCGATATTGATAGGCCTGCCAGGAATAGGCCAGGCATGAGAGCCTCTGAGAGAGACCTGAGGAAAGTGTTGCAAGGAGTCTGTGGACCGCTATGACCCGGAGAGCAAGGACCTCTGGTCCTTGGATGCGCGTTCGAGTCCACCGTGTTCTTCTGCCCCTTTATTTTCTTTATTGTATTATCCTTTTTTGTTGGACGAACCCTCTCGCGGCCTGGTCGTTCTTTGGGTCCTTTTAATTGTTTTATCATCGTTCCGCCTCCCTCTCGCCTTCTCGTTTTTTTCCTTCAATAGTCTCTTCCCCAAAATAATTCTCATCATTAAGACACTTGGCCAACAAACGCCCGCGGAAATCCTATATCGGAAATTTCGTGAGACATTCATCATTCTAAAATGATTTGTCGTATATTATATATTCTCAATTGCCATAATTTAATTTTAAAAGTAAATTAAAGATTTATATATATATATAGTGTCGATTTTTGATTAACAAAAAATCAATTGTTTAAAAATTATTCATTTTTATTATTTTTTTGAAATACTTCTAGTAAATATTATTGTATCTTTATTTATTTTTGTAACGTTTTAGATTATAAATTTTATTATCGCATTTGTGTACATCGCCGACTAAAAATTTCTGCAAACTTGTCAAATCGTCTCTATAGGAATAAAAGTATTGCTCAGAAAAAAATATGATAATTAATCATGTCAAAAATATTAAACGTTCTCGTTTGTGAATGCAGAAAGTAATAATAAAGTTAGTAAAAAGCGTAAACATTTGTCAGTGAGCTACTTGAGCTGCGGTGATGTAGAAGTGCTAAGATGAGAAAAAGAGAATATTCTATGTGTGCATTACTGACAAAAGTCACATTGACATTTTATCGTATATTATCTTAAACCATAAGGAGATAGTCCATACGTCACGATTAAAAAGACCATTTTTTTCTTACAAGACAGCCGCTCATAAGGTGCAAATCTATCTAAACGCGAAATAAAAGGTCTTCTGAGACCTGCATAAAGAGTCTGTATAAGGCGTCTCAAAGGCAACACTGGTAAGCTAAAAATAAAGCTTAAAAGTTGAAGCTGAAACATCTGCTGAAAGAGAAAAATTTACTACGTGATTTAAAAATAATAATTTGTGTATGTAATATACATACTTAAAATACAAAAAATTAATAAATTATTTACATTAATTTTCACACGTTCGTAATAAGTAATTCAATAATTTTTTATTGTACTTTATATTTAATAATGAGCTTATGTATTAAGTTACGTATATATAAAAGTATATAAATTAGCCTTTTTTAGTTAGCTTTATATGCGAAATATAATAATTTTTGAGCAACTCTGTATACATCTCATATAAAAATAATGTGAAGCGCGCGAATTTATCGCTTACATCCACCCATAGACGATGCTTATCGATTCTGCAATCTGCTGCTCGTTTTTGACCGCGCGTGTTATTTATGCAAACTCGACTCTCCGTTTTAGACTCCGAACGAATTTTGACGTCATTGTACCCCGACATTAATCATAAAAAAAAGTGAACGCAAATGAGTAAAAGAATGAACGACCTTTCCAGGTTATATCCGTTTTTCTCTCATTTCGATCCCCGCATCAAAGCTTGACATCAACCCCTCAACTGCTATGTTTGCAATATTTCAAACTAATATTTTTTCAAGAAAATTTACTTGTCAGTTGAAATAAAGTAAAAATATATCACAATTTTCATAAATATTTTTTCAATTATCTTTATATAAATTGTATAGAAAAAAAATTTTATTATACAGAGTTCAGATAAGATATCCATGTTGATTTTTAATATTTTAAGTAATTTAAGTAAAAGATATAATACTTTCGATAATTTATAATTATATAACTCTATTTTAACATCTTATGGAGGCTAAGAAGATTTGTTTCGAGCAAGATTTAAAATTAAATGATAATTACGCGAGACTTTTGCTCTTCATTATTACTGTCAAGAAGTCCATAAAAGTAATGTGAAAGTAATCAGTATTGTGTTTTTGATAATACAATAATAACATCATTGAAAGAAGTTATCGCACACGGGCGATTGCGCTGAATGCTTATAACTCTCCGAATATCGTTCTATCATTCAGCATTAAATAATGAACACGTAAGAGTAACGAAAAGATCACCTACGTCAAACTTATTCTTCAATGCGCGTGCACTTTAACCTGCACCACGACCGACGTACCGATATGCCTAAAATGAATACCGAATGAGCATTACGGTATTAACGAGCGACGTCTGCATTTTTAACATCGCTTCGGATGGTTCCTGCCTTAAAACACAACGTTTCTCAAACCTGTTTTTCAAGTTCCATTGCACAAACGAAACGCATGCACCGCGCGACAAAGCTTTAATTCAATTCAAAGACGTAAGCAAAATCCGTTTCTTTCCTGCTTTTAAGGAAATGCTGAGGCGTCGAAAATTTCTTGGAACGTACATTTGTTACAGTAAAAATTTAAAGACAAAAAAATAAATGTTTTATAACAGATTTAGCCTTAATATTATATTAATTAAAATATACCACGCATATCCTTTGTTTAATAAAAATTGTATTAATAACAAATTAAAATCGTTATTGTAGATAAAAGCCTCTCAAAACCCATCTATTATAGACGACAAGGAATAATATTCCCAGCGTTCTCCAAGCTAGGCGTGTTCGCCAGATTTTCTTCTACGCAGCCATAAAATCATTTTGCTTCTAGAAGGTTTGAATTTATTTGCTCCCTACTGTGCCGAACACATCGAAAACTTATGTCTCGACGAGAAGATCGAAACACCTCGCGATTTTGTCGTTAAATATATGATATAGTCTCCAAACATTAATTTATATTTTCTTCTTAAATAATCTTAAATAAGCCACAACATACACACGAACAAAGTATTAAATTGTTGTTGTCTGCTTTCAATAATAAAAATTTTACAAAAATGATTCAAAATATATAAAATAAGTAAAAATTAGACGCAATATTAGAAATAATAATACTATATATTTAGATAACGTATAATTAAAAGTTTTTCAATTGTAAATATTTATATAAAGATAAAAATTTAAATATTTAAAATGAAAAATGATAATCTTTAACATGCTTAACTTAATTAAATAGAAATCTTAAAAAGAGAAATCTGGATAAGTTGAGAAATCTATCGTACTGTTTTTATTATCAATACTTATGAAGATTCAACGCAAAGGAAGCCTCGCTAAGATATTGCTCTTGACAGAGATATCGCTCTCGTATTTGGACTTAAGTGGCGTGCCGTGTAAGCCACTTTGAATTTATTATGCGATTTGGTATTCAATTCAGCACATGAAAACATTGTAGCACTATCGATAATATACGATAAGAGCGAAAATAATTTTCAGATCCATCAAAATAAAGCGTCTTTAATATTCAACGTTTGATATCACTGAAGAAAAAAATATCGGAATCAATATTCCTTAATCAGAACTAATTACGACAATAAATTAATATTGTATTTAAATAAAATGAAATGTGATAAAAATGTCAATTGGATGTCAACATTGGATGTATGTGTGTGTACATAATATTTATTGTCTAAAGATATAAATAAAAAAAATAGAACATGTTACATATTTAAAATGTAAAATGTTATGTTTTTCTTATTGGCATTTTTATTATATTCGATTTAATCAAAGCCTAAACATTTTTATTTATTAAATAGTCATAGAATGTAAACTGCAAATAAAATAATTTTACAATCCTATTTGCCAGACAAACTAAATCATATTTTTTAAAATATAATGACAATACGGAATTTAATGTCATTCAAAGTTTTAAGAAGTATTGAAAATATGTAAAAGATAAATTCGTAATCTTTCAAATTATTATAATTAAAAACTAACAATATTAAATTTTGAGAGAAATTTGAATTTTATTCAAATATCAAAAATTACTAAAAAGTATATATATTTATATTTAAGTTTAGCAGCAAAATCTATTTTTTGGCAAGATTAAGGATTATAATTAAACAGTAGAGATGCAAGAGTGCGTTTCTAGAATTTATGCTCGTTTTGTTTTGCAGTTTATGACTCATTTCTCATTCATTGCACTTTCTATGCATCTAAGGGTTAGAGCTAACCATTCTCCCTGAGCTGATCTCGCGGTCTAGCAAGCGGAATTCCCGTCTCGTTTCTCTCTCCTGTCGGCATTCCATCCTAGATCCCCCTGTAGTTTCTCGGGCTGCGGTCTAAGGTCTAAGCGATTCGCCGCTCGAGTTAAAATCAACGACAAGGACTCGAGCGAACGCGAATGATGATGACGAAGAAACGATGGCTTTGTCGAACGCGCGATATACATGTTAACTGCTAGGATTAGACGGGGATTATCTTGGATGTCACACTCTCGTGACTTTGATCGTAAAATGACATGTCTCTATTCGCGAGCAGTTATCAGCGAGAAATCCTATTAAATTTTTATTAATGTTCCATTTATTTTATAAACCCTATATATTTAAATTATAAATGGTTGCAACGTATGCATAATAAATTATAAATTAAAAACATTCAAGCTTTTTGCTAGTTTAAATATTCCATTTATAAATTATTGTATAGTAATTTAAATATAAAGTTAAAATGTGTTAAGTAAAATATATAAAAAGACAATAGAAATTAATGTTAAATGCACAAAACATAAATTTATTTATTCGAGAATATATTATATAAATTTAAAAAACATTAATTTTCTCTATAAAATCTTTAAAAGTAAAAAATTTGAAATGTTTAATTTTAAATTAAAAATTAAATTATTATCCAATTATAAAGTATATAAGATAGATGGTATTTATAACTGTCTGTCTAGTAATAAATATTATTCTACTTATAGCATACATAAGATGATTAAATTTCCATCAAATCAGATTAAAATTTTGTTTTCTTTTTCCTCATCTGCAAAAAGTCCCGATATTATGTATGCAAGATTACGCGTGTCCTTAAGTATCGCAGATTTTGCCGACGACACGTCACCCGAGGACACGTTAAAGAATGCAATGGCGAGGTCATCCTGGGTGATTCAAGATTACAACGCGAAATTCGAAGGCAGGGGGAACCGAAAACTCGACAGATTCCGGGATTACGTCGGGCAGAGTCGTTCTCTCCCTTTTCTTTTTTTGTTCGCATCGACCGGATTCTTCCTTATTGCCGAAACACCGAATCTCTTATCTGAAGGATAATAAAAAGGACGATGAGCCTTCCCTGGAGAACGATGAAGCCTCCTACATACGGCGCAAGCCGCGCTCTCGCAGCCTCCAATACAGGACCCACTCGCGAAACACTTTCGAGTAACGAATGCGTAACGAGTCCTCTTGAGAGTGCGTCTACCTTTGCATACCAATGCCCGGGTCCTTCTTCTCCTTTCGTCTCTTCCCGCAGGTGTGGAATTTTTTCTTCATTTTCCTGAGTTATAGAACACAGTCTTAGTCACACAGAAAGCTCCCTAAACGGTCGATGTCATCACGAAATTCGCGAATATGCATTACGGTTTCTCGATTTGTGGTGTAAATCAATACTCCAGTAGTGAACTATTAAAAAAAAAATAATGCTTATAAAACCTATTTTAATTTATTGCGTATATAATTCTTTCATCATCTTTATTTTACAAAATAGAAAAAGTATAATATTTAAGTCAGATACTATTTTTCAAAAAATAATAAGTTTTAAAAAAGTGTTCGCTGAATCATGTGAAATAATTCTTCTTGATAACGTATAACTTATTAATGGAACATTATATCGCAAAGTGTTCTAGAAAACCGAATAGATCAGAAATGCAAAACAACTCAAGCTTGCGCTTAAAGCTTCCGATCTGTTAGTACTAGTTCTGCGTTTAAATAAAACAGTGCATAAAATATCATAATCTGCATTTCTACGTGACAATATTAATTGTATAAACTATGTTTTACGTATTATTCATGCAAACAATCTATGGGTCATCGAAATTTATGTTCTTTATCATTGCACTGGACTGTACTAAAGCTTCTATCTAGCTTATATATTTTATTTATCAATATTAAATATATATTAAACGTCATAAAATGTAATTAAATCTTTTTATATCGTATTAATAATTTATAACCATTTACATATTTTACATCGCTCTTATTGTCTACATAAAAAAAAATATATGTAAATTTAATGTAAATAAGATATAACTATTTCATGGCAAATGTAATCCTGAAATATACCGCGCCCTGAGTAAAATAGATTAATTTGCCACTTAAAGTCGACAAGAAGAGACTCTAAAATTGTCAATAAAACTTTTAATTTTGCTTAAGGGGTTATTCTAGTTTATCGAGTTAAAAAAATCAATTTTTTTTTATTGCATTTTCGGAAAGTTGACAGTCTTGAAAATATATTACCAAAGCCGTTCACAGAAATAATGTGTATAATAACTGAGTTATTTATTGTTTACTAAAATATTCCACAGACCTAGTCAGAAATGATAATAAAATTTTCTCAGAATAATATTTTTCAACCGCGTTGATATACTAATATCTCGGGAACTAAGCGTCCAATCGACTTGAATTTTTGCGTGTTCATTTAATACATGTTCTTTTATTATTTATTTCGAACAACGAAATTTAATTTAAGATTATTCCATTTTATTATATAAAAAAAAACGACAAATTTATAGGTGAAAATCAATATCATTTTTCAAAACATTACTGTTTCAACAATTTTCAATTTTTTTCTTATATTTTAATTCCAATAATAATGTAACTCTTACAATTTAATAATTTCTTTGATTTTTTGGTTTCAGGTTATTGGAACTAACGGAATGATGTCAAAAAGAAATTTTTTCATAAGACTTGCGTATCACCGCGTATTTGTTTTTTTGTATGATTTTATATGGACACGAAAAAATAAATTTTTAAGTATCTATTTTGTACAAATAAAGTTTCAAAAAGTTTCATATTAATATGTTCTTTTGTATCTTTTTTAGAACCATTACCTGAATTAAAGGCTGTCCTTAATTTATAATAACTTTGTTGAATTCACCAATATGTTCCCCAAAATGAAAGTTTCAAAAAACCTTGTTGAGTCTTTGAAATGTACTTTTAATGAATTTAATACACGACACGAAAGGGTTAAAGTCCTAAATTCGTCCAGTAACGCTATAATATTCAACGCCTACAACCCCTTGAAATTCGGCAAAAAACAGAAAAAGATAACAGCTGGGACAGAACGAATGATCACCATGAACGCGCACACATCCTTCGGGTGCATCCTAAATCTCGTCCAATGGGGAGTCTTCGAAACCTTGAGTAAGAAGTAGAGGAGGGAGATTCTCTCGAGAAAAAGAAGAAGAGGAGGATGAACGAATCGGTGCGAAAGCAACGGTTGCGAGCACTTCCTGCGCAACAAGAAGAGGGTCCTACGCGGCGCACCGCCGCGTAATTGAGGTCCTGCAGACCCTACAAGGAACAGCGGTGGGGGCCGCCCTATGTAAGGCTCTGGAAGCGATCAGGTCCAGCCCATCCAGCATCAGGACACCGTACGTCTGGATTCGCGCCACTTCAAGGATTATCGGTATCGATTGTCAACCAGTTCAGATCACCCGCAAAAATTGTTTCGACGAGATAGTCTTTAAGAAGAGCGATTTCCGCTCTGGTAAAGGACGCTTATCCCTGTCATCGGTGAAGAAGAGAAAAACAAAGAAAAGAAAACTAAAAATTTATCAAGGAGAAGATGAGAGTGAGCGTGATATTGGTTTTTGTGGTCCTTGCTCTGGGATTCGTCGGTGCGGCTAGAAGAGACAGACTTAGGACGACAACAACGGCGTCGCTTGATGATAGACAGTTCGCCTTCGCTGAACAAACTGAAGGTCAGTGTCAGGATTGCGATTCAAAAGTTATGCGAAAGGTTCCTTTATGGAACTGATAACAATTACAAAACATTACAAAAATAAGCTGACAATAACACATATACATCATATATGTAAATTCACTTACTATTAAATTATAATACAAAAACCAAAAGATATAAAAATATTTAAAGGGTGTTCTAATTTTTTCAATCTTTAAATCGTTTTTTTATATATTCTATTTAATATATTATATTACCTATATTTTTCGTTTCAATTACATAATTAATTAGAAAGCTTCTTATAATTTTTATAAATTATGTAAATTATACTTATAAAAAAAATAAATATAATTTACATAATTTATATTATACATTACCAATTATCTTCTAACATTAATTATAATAATTATATAGATATAAATGATCTGTTTTCTTAATTCTATCAAATTTAGAATCACTATTGCTTTTATAAGTTAATGCGTAAAATAATATTTCCAGCATTGTTTATTATTTATCAAATTAATCGCTTTGTCATTTTTCTACTATTCTTTAACGCTTTATTTGCAATCTGAGTCTTTTTTAACATAAACGAAAATTCATTTTTTAAATTTTTCAAAATAAACGAAGGCGGAGTCCGATTTTCCTTACTAAAATAATTAAAAAACCTATTTGATAATATAATAAAAATCTTGAACTTTTTTACATTTTTCTTGAAAATCTAGAACAATAAAAAATTGGATTGGATAAAACAAAAAAGATCTAGATTGTAGACAGAAGAAATAAGAATATGATTGTAGCTAAAGGGTTAAACAAAACTATGACTGCTATTATTAGTTATTCATCATTAATTACCAATTCTTAACCGTAATCGCATATGAGCTGATATAATATTAAATCATCGTTATCTTCGGCGATGACACTCTTATGGATTAGAACAATCACCATTGAATTGCAGAACTAAAAAACTTATGGAATAACTTCGACAGCCACAAACTGAATGTTCGTGCGGGGATCTGGAAAAATGACACGGAAAATAGAATCATTCTTAGTGCCAGACAGTATCCAGGACTTCCGCACAATCCGGGTGACACGAATGAGCTTCCGAATCCCATTTCACCACCGGTGGAACCGGCACCACCACCGTACCAACCTCCGCCGGGCTGCCTAGGACCGAGAGGCCAGTATCCAAGCTCGAAAAACTGCGCCAACTATCTAAATTGCTGGGATGATGTGGTGATCGAGCAAACCTGTCCGGCTGGGCTACTTTTCAATGACGTCGCCGGTTACTGCGACTTTGCGTTCAACGTCAACTGCGGTGATCGACCGCCCGCTACGCCAAGTGAGTGTGATCGATAATTACGCGGCGCGAATCGTTCACTCACAGTTTTCGATAGTAATAGGAATGATTAATTCGACTGTTCTCTAATCGCATAAATTTCGTTAAACAAAGTTTAAAATAGATTTATTTGAGAAAACTGATGAAAGAAGTAAAGAAGCGGAAAAAGAATATCGATATCACATTTAAATTATTATCTGTAGTGATAAATAATCAATGATTTAAAAAATAAAAAATTTACACTGAAAAGAAAGATTGGTTTAGATAGTAAAATATAGCGTAGCATTTTTATATGACTGCAGCAATCAGATTTTGGTTGTAGCCATATAAAATTTTTAATTGCGTTAGCCTATCGAAATCATATATTGACATTGCGGATAAGCTAACGCAACTAAAGATTTTATATGATTGCTACAACCAAAATCTGATTGCTGCCATATAAAAATGCTATGTCATATTTTACTATCTAAGTTATTGTAGCAAGCAATCTTTTTTTTCAGTGTATCTCTTTAGATTTTTCATAATCTGAAAAATACGGATAAGGAGAGCAAAGAAATAATATATAATTATATGTTATATATTATTTGGCAGAGCCACCATTGCCGGCGGGATCAAATCTATGTCCGGATTCGAACGGACGTTACAGAAGCTCGACCAACTGTTCAGAATTCTACGTGTGTGTCGCGGGCAAACCTAACAAATTCAATTGTCCTCTCAATCTGGTCTACAGTGATGTAAGGATTTATTCTAAAAGGACGCGGCGGAAACGCTCGCCGATTTTAAAATACACAATGACGTAGCAATATGCTTAAAATACATCTCGCAAAATATTGCTTTCTATACCTACTTACTCCATTATTTCTAAATTTTAATTTTAATATATTTTATATACTCTCTATCGTTAATAAGATTAAAAACACTTGTGATTTTTCGTATTCCATAAAAAATTAAATATTTCGGTGCAAAAAATTATACAAAAGTTTACAATAATACATTTTAAGGAGAAAAGATAGAGGCTTTTTTTTAAGTTTGTATTTTAGTTTAATCTCTGCAATAATTTTGTTCCAAAATTTTATTTAAAAAATTAAAAATTTGTATTTTTTCCATATTTTACTTTTTCAATGTTTTACCTTGAAGCGCTGTCTGTGGCTTTTTTACTCAGTATAATGCGTACTATCTATCGTATAAATGCTAAATAGTTTTTTAACACCCTGTATACTAATGTCTCTACATATACAATAGTATCAGTTAGGATTTCCTATTTTAGATACTGAATGTTTGTGACTATCAACGCAACGTGGACTGCAAAGGCACAGCCACGCCGAAACCATTGAAGCCTACACAACTGCCAACTCAATCCCCGCCGTCTTCTACCTATGCTCCTACCAAGCCGCCCACTGCTTCTCCTAAGCCACCTCCTCAGCCGACTTATCCACCTCAACCACCAACTTACCAGCCACAACCACCGACTTACCAGCCTCAACCACCAACTTACCAGCCTCAACTGCCGACTTACCAACCGCAACCACCGACCTATCAGCCTCAACCACCGACTTATCAGCCTCAACCACCAACTTATCAGCCTCAACCACCGACCTATTCTCCGCAACCTCCGACTTATGCGCCACAACCATCAACATATCCCCCTAAACCACCAAGTTATCAACCTTATCCACCACCGCCTCCGTATTCCGGGAATCCTTGGCTGAATCAAGCGAAGTCTGATTCTTGGCATCCGCGAAACCTAGCGAAACCTAACGAAACTCTACTAGAGAGCGACGGAGAGATACACAAACAAGAAATATCAACTGATAATCCAACATTAAGTGAGCAGCCCATACATGACGTAATAGAAACTTCCAGTTTGACAAATCCGTGGACCCTACTCCAAGCAAATCTACCATCAGAACTGAAGATAACTCCGTGTCATGATGGCGATATATACAAACTTAATGACTTTTGTACTAAGGTGATAGTTTGTAGGCGCAACCAACCTGAAGTGATAGAATGTCTACCGGGACACTCGTATGATAAACCATCGGACTCTTGTATGCCTTTCAACGTTGCAATATGGTAAGGTTCTTTTTTTTCCTCCGTTTCTTTAATACATATTCGAATTTATTTAAAAAAGTAGATACTATACTACATAAATATTAATACGAATATTTCATTAATTTGGACTAATATATTTTTTTTCTATTTCAGTGAGCCCTCCAGTACACCTCCCACTTTGCACTAGGAACTCACATCGAAGATAAAAAACACATTAAAGAAATATGTTTATTAAATCACCATGTTAATTATTTCTCATTTCCACAATACACGGTAGTATTTAATTAAAACTTCAAACAATAGTTAAAGAATTACTAATAAGCAAATTTGAAAACAATTTCTCGAGAACAATAATGAAAAGGCTTAAAATGAAATGAATAAGCAAGTAGATAATGATGTTCAATATCCTACTCAAGTTTTGCATTCATTCCCTTAATGTATCATTCTATGAAGAAAGCAGAAGTTTTCAAATTTGTAAATCAATGTAAATGAAACCTCTATCCAACGTATACTTTTTATATTTTAATTCCAATTTCTCTTATATATAGTCCGTAATTAAACATATAAGTAAATAAAAAAATAATTTCTAAACCTGAGAAGCTAATTTTAATAGAAAACTGAATTTTAGTAATCATTAATGAAGAAATTAGAAAAAAGAAAAGAAATTATTTTTATAAGAAATTTCTGTGGACGGTAAACACAATTCGCACAAGATTCGCACAACTCAAATGCTTTATATTGAAATCACCAGATTGCAGCACGCGTTCTCTCATGTTCTCCAAAGGACAAGGAGAGTGGAGTCGAAAAAAGTGGCGAACGGGAAGGAGGACGGAGGGATGTGCGCCAACGATCAGAGAAGAGATTATTTCGCTCCGAAGAATTGGAGCGTGATTGATTTACGAAGAAATGTGTCGTCACGGAATAGATCGCATACATTTGGTCCTGCGGCGGCATTAAAATGGCCGACGAGCTCCCATTGCTCGATATATAGGCACGTAATTGGAACACAACTCGTTTTTATACGTTTCTAGAGAGCGTGCATAACACATGCCTTCTTCTCCAATTGCCGCAGACGATCCTTTCATTTCTCTAAGCGATCTTTTACGCCGTTTAACTATAAATTTATCAGATCGTAACACACCATAATTCATGCCAAATGGCTCGTTCTAATTTTCACAGCTCTGCAAAACAAATTATAATAATCTCAGCGTTATTTCGTGTTATTTCGTGATTATTGATATATATTACTGAGGTTAAAACAATAATTTAAAAATAAATCTGACCTGAATTTTAAAAAATCAATATATTCAATTTAAATTATATTATATAAGCCCGTATTTATTATATAGAGGTATTGAAATTTCCAATGTCGGCATTGAAATCGCTATTTAATAAAAATATCTAATATATAGAGAGATTCCTAAACTTACGAATCTTTTAATATTTAATATAAAAAATCTTCAAGAGTTTCACAAGTTTTAGAAATTTAAATGTTGAATGTCTCTATAATGAATTTGTAACATTGAAAAATTCAAAAGACTTTAACGCGCGGAAAAGCACAAGCTCGAAGTAATGCTTAATAATACTGATTGCACAATACTCATATTATTCCGATATTTAATAACATTTAATAACGTCATATTACATAATTATATGCAATTTAATTATATTACTATGATCGGCAAACTTCAAGGAGATATTTTTTATTAAGCAATGAATTTCTCCCTTTCTCGTTTCTGGCGATGCATTGTCGAGAGAATTCAAAGAAAGGGACCAACTCTAATGACCCTTTTAAAGTCTTTTCTCACAATCTCGCGTTTCATCGCACATGTTGAAAAAAAATGGCGGAAATATTATCAAGGGGAGGAACCAAGAATTCGGATTGAAAAGAAAGCAAAACAAATTGTCGGATATCTTAAAATATTTTTCGTGCACGTATCACGTGTACATATAATGGGTACATACGAGTATAAAAATATATAATTGAAGCAGGTACTGGTTACAATTATATAAACAAATGACCATATAATAACGCAACGATGTTGTATAACGCCACGGAGTTATTACAACGATCATGTAACAGTCACAAAACTGTATAATAATGTAAATATGTAAATAATAACCGCGAGATTTTTGTCGCCAATGTTTCTACACTTTATAAAGTATCCTGGAGGCTGATAATTACAAAGATATAAAAGTTTTATAATTTTATTATTTTATAATTTTATTATATAAATAAAAAACGATATTCTCCTTCCCTCTAATAAAGAAAGTATCCGATTTCGATCATATCGGATGTTTTGATCAAACAAAAGTCGTGAAATCGTTTAGAAACGGGCGACCGAGTATCGAAAGTAACGGGAGACGCCTCTTATACATTTCACTCGGACTCGGTGGCACAAAACTTGATAATTATGTAATAATACGCGACGTTACGTCGGATATAAAACGGCAAAAGGTCCCAGTGAAATGTGAAAACCATGACGAAGTATAAACTCATTGAATATGTTAACGCTGAGAATGCGATTAAATTATTGCTCGAAAACAAAAATCTTTTATCCTATGACAGAAAAATCGCTAGCTCTAGTTAGAATAGCAAAAGTAATGGAAGTTACTGTTTTAAAGAAATAAAGATGGAGTATAAAAATAGCTGTATTTTTATCTCTTTTATCATTACTATAATTCGAATTAATATATTATATTAAATATCATTATTATTCTTATAAATAATTCAAGAATTATTTCTCAAAAAATTTCTTTAGATAACGAAAAATAAATTAGAAAATAAAATAAAATATCCTATCGTCACTTGGATTTGTTAATAAATCGAGATTCTAACTGATATAATGTTATCCAGTTATTAAATGCAAGAAGGTATGAAGGTACGGAAAATTTAATTCATTTATACACGAGACAATAATGTCAAAGAGATATCTCTGTCCAAAAGATTTTCTTGTTTTCTACTGATACACATGACTAGCGATTTTTTATGAGAACATGAGAAATTGCTCGATATCAAGCCTAATCGATGTAATGTTTAAGTAAAATATAATTGCTTAAAAATGTATTTAAAATGTATACGATATACTGTACATTTTTATCTTCGACATTTGAAGGTTTTACCTATTCAATCGGCATACAATGGAGAATGAAACAAAAGTAGAACAAATAAAATCAGAATTGAATGGTGAACGTTCACGGAGACATACGAATTGATTGCGATAACTATTCGCAGCAGGAGGATAAGGGGTAAGAAGGATAATCACGTAATTCGTATTACGGAAGGCTCACTGGGGTCGAGAAAGGCAGGTATTTGCAAGTTGGCCGCACGACTACAGCGGCCTCGACCTTTCCGGAAAAGCTTGGAAATTGCAGTCAACGAGGCCTGCGATTAGGCACGCGTGAAAGATCAACGATACATGTTCGCCACTCGAATCTCTTGCACGTATCATGCAACGCGTATCGATTTCGAACTATTGCCAGATATCACAGACAGCTTAGTTTCTATTTTTTATACGACGTGAGAATGTGCACGTAAATTCGGAGAATAATAAGCATAAAAAAAGGCGTTGAATAGAGAAAAAAAATCAACGTGCATCGTTACGAAATTTCTGTCGCGAGAGGAATCTCGCCTTTCTCTTACCTTAATGACTTCCAAAGGACAACGTCCTTTCGGCGAGCGAGCTATAAGACGACGCATCGTTAAATGTTAACACGGCACGCGATCTTTTCGTACAGCGAGATAAACATAGTTAACTTTATAAAGGATGCTCTTCTTTCGAAATATTACCTATCAAGCGCACCGTTCTACAAACAATTTCAACGAAAGGTCTCGTTGACCTTTCCGCTTGAATTTTTCGAGTTCGATTATCAATAGTCGCGAGCTACGAATCGAGAGCTGAGCTCGTTCCGCAGACAAGGAATTTATTCTATTTATACATCATGATCGGAGCAATAAATAGTATATTATGCAAGTTCCCGTTAAGCAGGTAATACACGAGTCGACGAAAAATCTGATTACATCGCGATATATCGAGTATAACGTAATAAGACTTGCTATACATCCGTCAGATATTCGCGCATGAAATGTAGTTGACAAAAAATTTTATTACGTCATCACGTCACATGCAAATAAGATCTGCTGTTTTTCAAAAAAACACTAAAATGTTCACGTCTGAATATAAGTACTAGCGGAATAATAAGAAGTTGTCATGTACAAGTAACGCCCATAGCTTGTCGTGTCTATATAAAGGATGTAAGAAATTTAAAACCGCAGCTTCAAGTAAGTCTATAAATTAATAAGTACATCATATAAATGTAAGATTATAATTCTAATAATTATGATAAACTTTTTTAGCGCCTTAATTTACAGTAATCTTTTTTGTATACAGATAAATTTTTCCATTACATACTAAATATGAGAAAACAGTTCCGCTTGAAAAAAATTTGACCTGTCCAAAATCTCTTCTGCCTGATCTGTGTGAGATATCGCTTCGAGAAAAAGGAAAGCAAGAAGAATGTGATTAGCATTTTTTAAAAAATAAACTCGTGTAAAATTGGGCTCCCAACTTTTGACAAAATTAACTTTCTATAACTCATTTTATTACTCATTTGAATCTATTATATCTACCTGAGTCGGACATCCTCAAAACTTTACTTGTCAATAACTTTTTAAGCTTGCCGCCATCGCGTGCTGCAAAATACATCAAACACATACATAACACGCGTTCCAAATCAATTGTTATATGCCAGTCTGTCGTTACCTGTACTACTCGATACGGCGATCCGGAGGAGGCACGAGACATTCCCGCGGCCTACGTTTCGTCATTGCGTTCCGCGATTTTTTTTCGCGCTGGCAGGGAAAGTCCTCTAGGTGTGACTCAAATTCTTTGACCTGTCTCTTTCCGTCTTCGTCTCTCATCGTTACTTTCCCCGCAGGTCGACCGCGGCCAAGAGAATGTCTATTATTCCTATTGGATAATACACTTGGGTGTACATCCTCATAAATATGATATGTGATCTACGAGTTTCGCTGTACGAAAGAACGAAGTGCAAAAGGTGACGAATGCGCTCTCATAAAAGGTGTGATTCAAGACGAAGTTGTTGAATGCACGTGTTAAATCACATTCTAAATTGATATTGTGACTTAATAGGTTTTATAAGCCTTAACTTAATCAGTTTCATAAGAATTATAATAATATATAATATTCTTACTATTACACACACACACACATACACACACATTTTCATATGTAAATAAATTTTGAGAAAATTACCCGTTACATTCAAGTGTTATAATAATTAAGCAGATGTTAATTCTTCGAAATTATTTATATTATCCATTATCAATTCACAGAATTATCTTCATCCAAAAAGATTTTTATTGTCTTAAGGAAGAAAGTCATATATTCAAATAATCACACGGAAAGAACAGTTTTGCTGAAATATCTAAAAATTTAGATAAATACAGATTTCA